CGAGGAGTGGCTGGTGGGTTTGAACCGCCAGCCTTCTGGTTAGCAGTCAAGTGCCTTAGCCACTATGCTACCAGAGCTCCTATACAAATAAAGAGGTAATAGAAAATAATAGGCAACTTGAAATATAACTATAACTTTTGCCACAGTTACAGTATTATCTAGTTCCTGTTATTCTTTAAAGCAGCATGGGAAAGTATCAGGAACACTTTACACTCAGAAATTTCTGAGACTTTGAGAAATTATTGAGAGCATTAAGTTTGTATAGATTATATCTACCAGTATTTATCACATTAGAAATTAAAAAGACTTAAGAATTCATTAAAAAGAAAAAATCTATACATGCAAACATAAATGACATATTTTCCAAACACAGGAAAAAAGTATTAATAAGAATTATACTATTTAATCTCTTGTTGCAAATCTCTTGAATGTCTAGTTTAATAAAAGATGCTATATTCATATATCTGCTTTTACATTCACTATATGCTGTGATATTTTGTCTTAGTCAAAGAATATGAAGAAAATCTACCCTCACAGGTATACAGTTGAGGTAGAAGTATTATTATAGCTTTTCAGATAATTGTGGATATTATCCTTAGATAACATACCAAAACAAAACTAAGTGGTAGTTTCTTAAAGATTAATGTAATACAGAAATCATATCTATAAAACTTTCTGTATTTTGTACGCTAAAATTCACCGGTTTCTCTCATATTTTGAATACATCTTTTTACCCATGCATGATTTTATAATATTATGCACTGATCATCTGGAAAATTTTGAATCACTGAGTTATGCAGATCTTCCAAATATTAACACATTTGCTTACATAATAAAAACAAATTACATTTGTTAATATCATCAAAAGGAGTCCTGGTGGTACAAAAGTTAAGCCTTCAGAGGCTAACTGAAAGGTTGGCAGTTAGAACACACCCACAGCTATACGGCAGAAAGATCTGGCAATCTGCTTCCATAAAGATCATAACCAAGGAAACACTATGAGACAATTCTACTCTAGTCACATGGAGTTGCTATGAGTCAAAAATCAACTCAACATCAACTAATAATAAATAACAATATTATCATGGATTTCATCAGAAGAATCTTTTAAGAATTGGAATATTGATTGTTAAGGTCTCAATGGCAGATAAGAAACTTCCCAAAATTCTAATTTTCTCATGAAAGCTCACATTTTTAACTGGCAACAACTATTGGCAGATGCTTTCCTGGAAGCAACAAGCTTACTTCCTTTTCTGGGCAGGGGGAGTCCACCAAATAACCAAGTACAAATAACAGTTATTCAAATAAAAAATAATTTTCCATGAAAAAATAGCTACTTCAGCTCACAAGTCAGACAAAGGTGTAAGTGCTGTTTGTGGAGACAACCATCAATTACATTGTATTATACAGAGGTGCTTTATGCAAATTTGCCATTTCATATCATAAAATATTAAAAAGACAAAAAATTAAGGGTCGAGATTTAACAAAATTACTAATTTTTAGAACCTCATCAGAACATTATTAAGTGGCAAACATCAAAATGGTTACTAACAACATTTGATGTTACTGCCCTAATTCATGCCAAGGGGCTAGCAGTTTTCCCAACATTGCTTTCTTACCATCAGTACAAGTATCCACAGTGAAAAATGCAAATATATTATTAAAATCAAATTATCACTATTTTAAAAATAACAACATACTAAGAGACACGAATTCTAGAAGAATTAATTAATTAACTGAATTTTGGGGTGGTAGATTGATAGGAAATGATTATTACCTTCCTTTATTAACCTCTTTTCATCATTTTCAACAATAACCAGATGTTAACTTGTATGATTTTAAAAGTTTTATTAGTTAATTAAAAAGATCAGGTTACTTTATTCTAGGTACTTCCAATAATCTGAATGGTATAAGATAGTATTTTTTATGGAGTATTGAACCTATCTTTCATCCTGAAACTCAGAAAATCCAAAAATTCTAAACTTGATAATAATAAAGGGGTGACTTAACCTTAGGGCTTTTTAGTGCTGTGAGTACCTAAGAGTATTTCTTGAGTTTACCAGATGAAAACACCATACTGAAAGACTATCAATCCACTTGTTTTTTATTTTTAAAAATATTAATACTCATAAAAGCAAATCTAGCTACTAAACAATTCTTAAATTATTAACTAAGCTACGCTGGTGCCACGACACTAAATCTGAACTAGCCTTTATGGCGTAGTGCCTCAGGCATTTGACTGCTAACCTGAAGGATGGTAGTTCAAACCCACTAGCAACTCCTCAGAAGGAAGACTGGGCAATCTACTTCCACAGAGATACCACCTTGGAAACCCAACGGGGGTACGATGTAATAAATTACTTAGTGTGGTTTTTCTAGCCAGAAGTCTTTGTAAACTCTGTGGTGGAATTTGCTGTGAGCAACTGAGGAGCTCCTGATTGTAAAAGTTATCCACCTGGGGTACTTTTGTTGGGCATAACACAAAGCAATGTTCTGGGAGGTTCCTGCTCTCTCTCTCAGGTGCTTAGAATTCTGATGTTATGATTGGTTAGTTTGGCCACTCTGCCAGGCTCAAAAGGAGGCCTCCTAGAGGCAGAAGTCGTCTCTCTCTGACTGTTGGTTGAGGAAGACGTGCTGCTGAAAGAGATGCAAGAGACACACATTGCTGAGTGAGACACCGGGCGACACTCACTGTTGGAAGAGAGATTGTGAGAGGCTGTTAGGAGAGAGACTGTGGGCTGGGAAAGAGTCTGACCATTTTTCCTGAACTTGAATTGTAGCCTGGTGCTTCCCTAACAAACCCATAATCTCTGAGTTCTGTGTGGCCACTGCAGTGAATTATAGATCCCAGGAGAGAGGTGGTGGGTGCTTTGGGAGAAACGATTGGTGAAAGAGCTGGAGGGCGGCAGCACGTCTGGCCTTGCAGTAATAGGCCTAGGGTTACTGATGGTGATTCTGTCTTCCTCTTGTGGGGTCAGAGGAGGTCTGAACATGTGGCATCCCTGCCCTTTTGGCTGGGGGTCACTATGAGTTGGAATAGACTCTACAGACATTGAGTTTGCTTTTTTGGTTTTTTACTTTAAAATGATGATACAATACTGCCATCTAGAGCTCAAAGAAATTTGTTCATCTGAGTTCACTGAAAATATTTAATGTTTGGTCTATTTTAAAATAAGGCAAGGCATATCACGTTTTCTTCCTTTATTGTGAGTTTTCAATAATCATAATGAACATTGGTGTAGCACTATGAATCCCAGTATTATTCAAGTTTTGGCCATATCTGGCAGTGAAAATGAGTATCAACCTTATTGCAAATACAGAAATGAAACAGTTCATGTTCTCAGTTTCCTTTATAATTCTCAACTCTAGAGAATAATTCTTAATCTTTACTTTAGATACTTTTTAGAATAAGTCAAAGTACGAAAGAAAAAAAAATAATACTTTTCTTCCAATACTCTCTTTGTAGTAGCTCTGTTCCTACTAGAAGGTCATAATAAATTTAAGGCTAGAACTCCTAAATTCTCAACCACCATTAGTCTGCCTACAACAATGTTAAAGCTCAATTTTATCACTGATTTTAGACACTTAAGTATTATTACCAAATTATCACTATTAACCATTGGTAATCAGTGGGAAATTAACAAAAACATAAAATTGAAGGAGTGGAGAAAGAAAGGGGAAAATATGTAAAGCAATCAGTGTAACGTTGTTAAATTCATTAAGATATTAAATATCCAGTATCTTTCACATTTTTATCTTCCAAAATTTAAAATACATATCTTCTCTGACCAATAATTTCTCCTTCCCGAAAACAATCCTTTTGTCATACACATACAAAGGTATATGTACAAGGATGTTCTTTATTGCATTACTTGTAATAGTGAGAAGAAAGGGAGAAAAGGAGAGAAAGAGAAGAGGAGGAAGAGGGTAAGAGAAAAGGAGGAAGTAGATAGGAAGAGAAGAAGAAAAACCCTACAATACTAGAGGAAAAAAATTTCCATTAATAAGAAACAAATAAATCTTGCTACATCCACACAACAGAATTATGATACATACTCAAATATTTGCAGACTGATCTCTGTAAATTCTCTATTTTGGGGGGTAGAAGGGAGAGATTAATGATATTAATGACCACAGAGCTTGTCACCAATATTCCCAGTGTCCAGTAGTTCAAAGCAAAATTTAACTGAACAGGAAAATTGGGCTATACTCTTTGCATTTCCAAATGATGTGTACATAAAGGGGCTTTTGTTTTCAATCACACTTTTTCAGCAGCTCATAACCATCTGCTTTACTGGAATAATAAATATAGCCACTTAGAACTCTATATTACTAAGCTTTCAAAGAGGTAAAACATGAAATCTCCCCCTCATAGCAAATTTTAAACAATTTTATAGCCTATCACAGATTAACTATACACATGCGTGCTAAAATGAATAAAATACTTTCATTACCTTTCCTGTGCTTTGTAAGATAGTTGTTCGTGTCCTCCACACTCTCTCTCTGCTGACAATATCTCGGGTCACATCTACTTCAGCATCCACAAAACTCCTCTGTTTAAGGGCAGTTATATCATCATCTAGATCAGTTTTGATAGTAGATCTTTTCTTAGCCATAATTTTGGCTTTGATTGCAGCAATTTTTTCCACTGACATAGCTTCAGACAAAGACCTAAAAGTAATTTCTTTTCTTAATTTTCACATCAAGGATCCCTCAAACAGATCATAAATGTTTTCTTACATATGTAATTTCCTGGTAAAAATACTTTAAATGGCAATAAAGTTTTCTTTTTTGTAATCAGAAAAGTTTTTAAAGGGTTTATTTTTAGATACTACTCTAAGAGCAAGTTAACAGCTTCTTAGACTAACTGCATTAAAATCTTCATGTAATTTTTCATTCACTATCTTCCCAAAAAGAACAGAAGACTATTAATATAGGTGGGTTTTTTTTTTTTTTTCAGTATTTTCTGAGACTTTTATTTGCTAACTCCCCTCTATTGATAGAAATAATGTAAAGTACATACAATCCACTTTGCAAAGGGAGTTAAAAATTGATTCTGCAAAGAATTCAAAGCCTAAGTTTCCCATGAAATTTATTTCCATGTTTCAAACTGATAATGTCATAGTAGTCAATATATTGATTTTAGAGGTGACAGAGACTTTTAACCAAATGCCATATATACTTTTAATCTCTAGAAGATGAAACCACATTTTGAACAATTTGTTTCTCTGCTCTTTACTTAGCTTTTGATTAATGGGCAAAAGAACAAAAAGGGGCTATGCTTTTCAACAACTTAACACTAAAAGTATGGATCTCTTATGGTAATAAATCAGGCCCTTTCTTTATTATGTTAAACAGAACAAGAGTTGAAAGTACTGGGGTACCTGAACAACCACTGACAAAAACACCACATTAGTCACACGATAAAATTCTTGAGCTACGTTTAATCAAAATCTGGAAAAAGGAGAGAAATTTCTGTGTTTCATCACAGCAGTATTGTATAATCCTGACTTACAGTGATCCAACGCGACAGAGTATAACTGTCCCATAGGGTTACTAGGCTATAACCTTTATGGGAACAGATCACCAAGTCTTTTCTCCTGCAGAGTTGCTGGTAGGTTGGAACTGCCAACCTTTCAGTTAGCAGCTGAACACTTAACCAATGTGCAACTAGGTCTCCACAGTAGTACTATGTAGTATATTATTTTATTTATATCAGGTATGAAGGTACGACAGATGTTCAATATGCACCTGATACTAGACTCATTTTGTAGAATACTTCTCAACTGTCCTCTAAAATCTAAAGCATACTAACATACCTTGGACCAAATTAAAATACTTTTCTAAGCTATAATCAAGTCTTAAAATCTATATTGGACTTTCACTACCAACCAAGATGAAGTCACAGGGACTCCCGTCTTAAAACAACCAGTCAATGGTACACCACAAGATCCGCAGCCTACACGAGATATGAGACCAGAAGAACTAGACGGTGCCTGGCTACCACTGTCAACCACTAGGAGGGGGATCTATGTAGGAGATCCTGGATAGAGAGGGAGAGCAATGTGGAACAAAACTCAAAATCATTTGGGAAAAAAAAAGGTGGGACCAGGTTTGCTGGTCTGATAGAGCCTGGTAAGAACCACTGAGACTATGGCCCCAGCTGCCCTTCAGTTCTGGAATTGAACCCACACCTGTGGCTTCCAGCCAAACGAAAGACAGGCATAGGAGTTGAACATGTACCTGACATACATACACTCCTTGGAGAGAACAATCATGAGAGAAATAAGGGCTGTATATGCGCAGGGAGACAGCTCAGGGAGCAGGAATGCATGGAGGGACGGACACAGGGAAGAGGTACTATCAGGACGAAGTAGGAGGAGAGCTGTTGCATTGGGATAAATTATAGTCAATGTCATGAGACAAAGAGAATGTGAACTGCTGTGTGGAAAGTGAATCTGCTCTGTAAACTTTCACCCAAATGACAATTAAAAAAAAAAAAAAGTCAAAATACATGAAACAGTGGTTCTCTAAACCAAAACCAAATCTAACTCACTGCCACCAAGTCAGTTCTGACTCATAGTGACCCCTCCTTGAGTTTTCGAGGCGTTATCTCTATGGAAGTAGATTGCCCAGTCTTCCTCCCAAGGAGTGGCTAGTGGGTTTGAACGTTACGCACTACACCACGAGAGCACCTACTGGTCCTCTGGATATCAAGCAATGAAGGATACTGATCCCTGAGATATGAAAAACACACCATGTTAGCACTATGATTATTCTAGCTTACTGCCTTAACAGGGAGCTCTGGTGGCGTAGTACCTAAGGCATTTGATTGCTAACCAAAAGGATGGTGGTTCAAACGCACCAGCCACTTCTCAGAAGGAAGATTGGGCAATCGACTCTGTAGAGATACCGCCTCAGTAACCCAAAGAGGGGTTGCTATGAGAGCTTCCAAAACATGGCAGGGGGTGGGGGATGGAGCAGGAAGAACTTAGGAAAATCCCTGAGTTGAGGAAATGGAGCTGAGATCCTGAGAAGAACAGGGTGGCTGAAGTTGATAGGCCACAATATCTAGAAGAAAAGAGATGCACAGAGGGTGCCCAGGTGTTGACAGAATAGTAATTAGCATACGAACATGAAGAAACCATGTAAAACTAGGAAAAGAACCACTAAGATGATTAGAGGGAACAATGCTCAGTGTTCATACAAGGGCAAGAACATTATCTGTTTTCAACAGTCAAACTAAAAAGTTCATATTCACTAAGTATTAGGTAAACTTCTCAGAAAGGTCTTGCCTCAGCAGTGGAGAATACCCACTGCCATCAAAGCTGATCTGACTCAGACTGACCCCACCTTGGGTTCCCAAGGCGCTATCAGTATGGAAGTAGATTGCCCAACCTTCCTTCCAAGGAGTGGCTGGTGGGTTTGAATCGCCAGACTTCTGGTTTGCAGTCAAATGCCTTAGACTTCTGGTTTGCAGTCAAATGCCTTAGGCACTACTAATTGAACATTTTTAAAATAACAAACCTGAAAACTAAGAACCAAAAGAAACAAACTGTTTCCAAGTAACCTATATCCCAAAACAAAGCTAAATAAGATATTTAAGAATATAAAAATATCCAGCACTCAAAATAAAATTCACAATGTCCAATATCCAATCAAAGATTAGAAAGTATGTAAAGAAGCAGGAAAATATAAGCCAGAATGAGAAAATATCAATCAAAATCAACTGCAAACTGTTATAGATGTTAGAATTAGCAAAGACATTAAAACAGTTATTATAACTATATTCCCCTTGTTCAACAACTTAAGAGACATGGGATATATTTAAAAAAAGAAAAATATCTTCTAGAGATGAAAACCACAATGTTGGAGACTAAAAATATAATGCATGGGACTGCAAAATAGAAGAATAATGAATGAGTTTGAGGACACAATAACAAAAAATATCCAAAATGAATGAAAAAATTCCATTAAAGAAATAATCATCAGTGAGCTGTCAGACAACTTCAAGTGTAGTTTGAGTGACTAGAATCCAGAAATGGGAGACAAGAAAAAACATAAACAATGCCAAAAATTTTCCATATCTGATGGAAGTTAGCTAAAACCCAAAAATACCCCAAAGAAGCTAAATGGACAAGAAACATGAAGAAAATTCTTAAGCCAGTCATGTTTAAAAGGCTCAAAACTAGTGACAGAGAAAATTTTAGATAGAGCAAATTTCTCATTCAAAAAAAATGCAATCAAGACGACAGGGGAACAACATCTTTAAAATACTTTGAAAATGTAAGATGAAATCAAGACTTGTTCAGGTATACAAAACTCAAAAAAAGAGTTAATTACCAACAAACCTACAGAAAAAGAAATATTAAAAGAGGTCATTCAGGCTGAGGAAACACAATGGCTACATGAATCTACAAAATGGAATGAAGAGCACTGGAAATGGTATCTACATGTTGTTGTTGTTGTTATGTGCCGTCGAGTCGGCCCCAACTCATAGCGACCCCTCCTTGGGTTTCTGAGGCAGTATCACTACAGAAGTAGGATTGCCCAAATATACAAGAATGTTTTTCTCCTTAGTCAAATTTCCTTATAAGGTAAGTGACTGTTTAAAAAAGAGCAGTAAGAAAACATTGTGGTATTTGTAGCATATACATAAGAAAAATATGTGACAGCAGTGTAACAAAGGCCAGGAAGGGAGTAATGGAAATGTACTATCGTACATGTGAAGTGGTAAAATAACACTTGAAGGGTAAGCTATGATACCATATCCCAAGCATACTATAAACCCTAGACCAATCACTAAAGTAATAAAACAGTTGTAGCTAGTTAAGTCAAAAAAGGAGACAAAATGGAAGTATAACAAATATTTATTTAATCCAAAAGAAGTTAGATAAAGTAAAAAAGAGGACCAAATACCAGAAGAAACAAATAGAAAATAAACAAAATGATGGACTTAAGTTAACTATATTAATATCCACATTAAATACGTTGTTATGTGCCGTCAAGTCGGACTTGACTCACAGCGACCCCTCCTTGGGTTTCCGAGGCAGTATCACTGCGGATATAGATTGCCCTATCTTCCTTCCGAGGAGTGGCTGGTGGGTTTGAACCGCCAGCCTTCTGGTTAGCAGTCAAGTGCCTTAGCCACTATGCTACCAGAGCTCCCACATTAAATATAAGCAGTCTAAAAATACACAAAACATACTTAAACTATAAAGACACATAGGTTAGAAGTATATACTATGCTAACACTAGTAAAAAAAACTGGAGAGACTTAATTAATAAGACAAATCATCTTTCATTTTAGATTTTAGATTTTAGAGGAAAACTGAGAAGTATTCTACACAGATAATTACAATAATAGAGATTTCAAAAATTCTCTCTTAATAAGTGATAAAACAACTGGACAGAAAACAAGTAAGGATATAGAAGATTTGATCAACACTATCAACCAATCTGACTAAATTAACCTTTATAAAACACTTCACCAATAAAAGCAGAATGCACATCCTTGTCAATTGCATTTAGATTATTTTCAAGATTCAGGGCCATAAAACAAGTTTCAATACATATCAAAGAATTCAAATCAAGGCAAAGCATGATCATACTTCAAAATTAAGTCAGAAATCAGTAACAGAAAAATAACTAGAAAATCTCCAGTTATTTGG